ATGATTGATACGATGATGATCGATTCCATTGTTCGATCATCATTTCCTTAAACATGGTTGATACCGTTGCATTTGGAGAAAAACGGCTGATTGGATTATAAACCAATGGTTGAATTATACGCGATGATTGCCCAGAATTTTCATACTTGCGAATATAGCTCAATAACAATGGAAAACAACCTGAATCTTCATATAAACATTGAAGTGTTGAAAGAAGAAGAGAGTCTATGGCAAGACATCCTCGAATCCAACCTGATACATTATAGATTGAATAATTCATATTTGGAGTTGGAAACTCATCATGAGAATCGTAAATAACAGCCGGAATTTTACAATAAGGATCACTTGCACAAACACATGTAACCATTGATGAGTTGATATCTTCGATTTGGTTTAAAACAAATTTCAGCTAAAATTAATATTACAAAAATCTATAATTCCACATTAAACAAATGAAAGAAATTGTATTTCTTTTCAAAAAAATATTACTTATCTAAAAGACTTTTTCTTTCATTATAATGTTTTTGTTAACATGGATGTGGGTGTGGATTGATGATAGACGCAGCAGACTAGAGACACCATCATCCTCATACTCACACCCACATCCTCACCCATCTCACACGCACACCCACTCGTCGACCTCAATTCTTACACATCGCCTTTAGCTGCTTTTATCTTGGGATATTTTTATTTTTCGACGATATTTAGGTTTAGTTTGTCTGCCCATCTATTCCTATTGCTTTAGCCCCCTAGCCTCCTTAGTATATTAGTCCCCTGAATTTCCTCAGTTGCATAATCCCCTAAGTCCCCTTAATGTCTTCTAATTTTAATTTGATTTCAGTTATTGAAATCAGTTTAACAACCGTAGAACATTTGATGCCGATCAGTTCAGTTCAGTTCGTTCAAAAGAACTGTTCAACCAGTTCGTGAACCCGAACTACGTCTACCCCTAATAATGACAGACTATGAAGTTCATCTGAATTCTTCACTATCAAAAATAGTCGCTGAAAATTTTTCCTGACTCTATGCAATGCAATCCAGTTTATTCAGTATGAGAAAACGAGTCTCCACCGCTTAACAAATTCATATCGATATCTCATCGATCAAAACTCATCTTTCGAAAAGAAACTAAAATTTTGATAGATACTACACGTATCTTTTGGTGCAAGCAACTCTCAGGAAACTGAATCAAAAATCCGGTCGGAAAAGAAGAATCGTATACGCAAATTACTTCTGAGCTTAGAAATGGCTTCAACATGAGTCTGGAACGGAGGTTGGAACCACTCTGGAATCGCTCATTTGGAATTCGTGAAAAATCAGAATGGAACTGATTATTTCCCAAGGGATGCTTAATACCAGTGTTTTATCTAGGTTTCGTTGTTCGGATGGACGGCGTATATTCAGTACCCACCTGGATCATCTCAAAATATACAGTCCTATACTTTTTTCAGGTAAGCGATGCCCACCTGTTAGGGAGCTGCGGAGTACTCCGAAACCCGATTATGACTCCGACTCTGTCGGAGTCGCAGTCGGGTTTCGGGTTCAAAAAATTTGACGCTAAAAATCGCTTTTTGTTAACAAAATTTCGGAGTTATTCGAAGTTTTTCGGAGTCGGAGTCGGAGTCAAAAAAAGTTGACTCTGCAGGTCCCTACCGCCTGACCCGTTCGGAAGGCAGCCTGAAATTGCCGAAATTTTTCAAGAGCTTTCAAACGGTTCCCAGTCCGTGATGATTGGGGAAAAGTGGAAAAAATCGTGGAATTACATTCCGGAATACTGTTTCAATCAATTCATCGTAATGAAATGGACCCACTCGTTTCCGTACCGCATTTTTCGACCTGGGCATTTCACCATGTGTGACAATCATCAATTTATAAATATTTTATTTTCTTTATAAACGTGAATAATGTATAACTTATTTACTTTTTAATTACTTTTCCGAAATAGTCAAGATAACTAAACTACTGATTATTTCTTTGAACAAATGCATCATTTTATCATTCGAAATAATAACATACCTTTACTAGTTGAGTTGTGTTTGTTTTATCTTCTACAAAATTTCCGATTAGATTGGTGTCCGAGTTATGTGAGCCTCTTCGATTTGCTCCTATATACGGCTGATCAATCTGCATAAGAAGTTGTAAGACATTTGCCATCAAATCAAAATTATGAACTGTTGATCCATAAAATTGATTGAGACTGGAATTTAATTGTTTGTCGAAATCGTCTTCGTTCATTACAAAAGAAGCAATATATAATTGAGAAAGATATCGTTTCACAGCATCATCGATTGTCTTGTTAGCTAATTGACAAAAATCAGATAATAATTGAAACAGTGGGGATGCACGAGAACGCCAGTCATTATAAATAATATTAATTGTAGTCCCTCTCAGCATATCAATCCAAATATTATCAACAAAACCACTCGAACATATTTGATGATAATGTGGAGACAACAAGACAAATTTTTGATGAGGAATTGCTTTATTAAAGCATGGACATTGGATTGAAGCGGAATGTAAGCCTCCTCTTAAAGAATTATAAGTTGTTAATGATGGATTTTTTTCAATTTTTGTCACATTTTCACTATTTAATGATGTGAATAAACAAAGAATACAAATTGACCCTATAATATTATCAACAAAGAAAGTGAATATGTTTATACAAAAATGAGATTTTATCCAAAACTGAAAAATGTTTCTTATTTCATCAAGGTAGCGTTTTTTTCTAAAAACATGATAATTTATCTCTCAATGTAGTCAAAAACGCAAACTCTATAATTAGGTAAATTAATCGAGATTTTGTTTGAATTTTAGTTCATCACTTATAAAAAAAAAAACAATGACATAATAACTTTACCAGTTAATAAAATCAAATAAACACATGTGATAATCTTTTGTTGTTTAATACCAGTTTCTGTTCGATCATTAACATTCTTAAATAAGTTTAATCGTTTCACTGATTCAATAAATTTCAATATTTTTCCATTTTCATCTATTAGAAATCGAATAGAAATTCTCGATAATAAAATATTCTTTCTTTAATTAAAGATCTACCTGAATTTGGATTTCTCTTTCTTGAACAACATTTGATTTTCGATAGAATATCAATAGACCATGATGCAATAAGACGAAGTATAATAATAAGACCACCATAAAGACTAATGAAAAGAGTTATTCCATGAGATAATTCTGTTTGATCTTTTTTTGAATATGTACAATTTGATGGAGAACATTGATGAAAATATTTTGTATAATCAATTTCTGGTGACCAATTCATAATGAAAAGATTATTTAAATATTTATTAACAGATTTATTTTCATGCCTTGAATTTAAAATTGAATCATTTGCATGGAAATTCATCTAAACAGAATAAATATTTCAAAGATAATCAATTATCGTTTACAAACTTGTTGACGAATTGGAAAATAATCCACTAATAATTGAAGACATTCTGTTTGATATAAACAATCTAATGTACTTTCAAGAAGTGCTTCAAAAGGAGTACATCCTGTAAAGAATCCATTAACAGTTGTAGAATTTGGCCTCCGATTCATTGAGTTTCTACGACTGGCGTCGATCAATTCGTAGTTCACTTGACTGAGAGTAGCATCAGCCACTACTTTCTCTCTACCGCATAGTTTGGCTGTATCAGGATCAGAGTACGATACTTGGTCTGCATATGTACGAATAGATTCAGACGACCATGCTGTTTTAATTATTAAATTTGTATTGAGAGCTGAAACTAAATAATTTGTCTGAGTTGTATTTCTTAAATAATCTAAATATGTTATCAATTGAGACGATGCACTTTTCTTTAATAAGTCAGTTGTTCCATTTATCTGCAATTGTACTTGTTCTTGAGAAAGAAGATAAAGAGTAACAAGTTCATTATTATCAATATCAATCTCAGTTTGAGAAATAATTTCTTTTGAAAGTGAACAAAAACTTGATAAAAGTTCAAACTAAACAAAGGAAAAAACAGACAATGTTATTTCATTTGCAATTTGAATCAAATGATAATTAACAAATAAATAATTTATTTCAATTTTTGAATTTCTTTCCTTCTGAGTAATCTTTAAAATAATGAAACTTTGAATTCTAGTACGATTGTACAGCTAATTTCAACTATGACATTGTCTAATATTAAATTATTTATATTAAAATCAAAAGCATATAAATGAGTACAATATGGGGTATAGATCTCAATTCTATACAACATAGACAAACTATTATTTTCTTTAAACTATATGAGTTATGCGAGATTATATTCTAAGTATTTCGCTCTGAAATCTTTCAGGTCTCACATAGTCACTTTTTTTGTGTGTGATACAATATTTCAAATCTTCTGTAAAGTTTAATTATAAAGGCTTGAAAGAAATTGTGGAGGAAGGTGGAAATATGCATGCTGAATGATGATAGATCAATATAATACTCATATCCACACATGCATGGGAGAATTTGATTTTGCAGCAAAATCAGTATCTGTAGATATACCCAGTGCTGCGGTATAACTAATATAAGGCTTACATCACTTATACCCCAACATAGCAATATTACTGTGATCTATTGTCAGAGATATACGTCACACTTGAAAACCGGTCGCTACTACGTCATCATCAACGTCTCTGCCTGTTGTATTTATCTTGAATTTAACAGAAAATATCATTTCTATACAACTTTACCTCGAAATCAAATTCCCTATTAATTCTATCAACATCAAACTCTATCTTGAGAAACATTCTGCTGTTCTTCAGTACATCGAACAATATCTTTTCATTCAACTAGTTGATGACAGGAAAACACACATTCAATTATTAATTTGAACTTACTTGTGAATGTGCTGTTGATCGAAAATCCCATACTCCATATTGACTTGCATTTGGAAAATATAATCCTTTGATCCATTCTGGTTCAATAAAAATACTCGAACAAACCGAATGCATTGTGACATTGCTCGAAGTAAAATTTCGATAAGGTATTGCTATTGTTGAACATGGACATGAAAGAGTTTGATCATGCTCAAAATAAAGCTTCTTAAAATTGTCAGGCGTTACATTCGAGATCATAATTGTCTTAGATTCGGTTTTAATCAAAGTAACATAGAATAACATATAGAGACACACTAAAACAAAAGAAAATTGTCAGATGACTATTTTCTTTAAATAAGTAGCTAAATAACTTATATTAAAATCTTTTTAGATAGATACACAACTTTATTTTTACAACTAAATATGTATTTCATGATATCTCGACAAATTCAATTTTTGTTTGGATTTGAGGGTGTCTGTTTATAAGTGTGGGTATAACGTGAGCATAATATTCACACCCACCGTCTACTCTCATCATCACATACAAATAATTTTTTAGAGAGCAATGATACGGCCGTTTTGATTCAAAGCAATTTCATTCACTCACAGAAAGCATATAAACGACATATATCTCAATGTGGGTGCCATGAAATATGATTCCACAAGGTCGAGAGATCATACATCTTTACATACAACGCTATATTGAGATATTCGATAAAACATTTTTTCATTTTGGAAATCACAAGTGGAGATGCGGAATATGCAACGTTTCCTCAGGAAGATGCAGCGTCCTTCACAAAATATGCATTTTCTGCACTGTCTCGAGCTCGAATCCACGAAAATTTTTTTTCAACTTGAAAATGGGAGATCTTAGCATGCTGTCAATTTGCTCCCAATATCTCTTAGTTATAGCTGGTACATCTAACTACACATAAAGAAGAAGGCTTCTTAGTTTGTACACAATGCATTCGGTACCAGTAATAGCTGGCGTCATCCAACCTTTCATGGCACTTGGCTAAGTCTAGAGGAATGCTAATAGAAGTTTGGCATCACTGAAGGAGAAGGAACGGAGTGGTACTGGGAGATATTTCACCCAGATCGTTCTGTAATAGCTAATGTCACCATACTTTCCATGATACTTTCATAGCTCCAATGGAAGGCTGAGAGGAGGTTGGTGACATTCATGGAGGCTGGAGACATTGATAGAGGTTAAGAGAGGATGTCTGGGTGGAATTTCACCTACACAGTCCTGTTATGACTAGCGCCGCTAAACTTTCCATGCTACTACCTTAGTTCTAATGGAAGATCAAGGCGGGGTTGGTGCCATTGATGGAGCCTCAGTATAAAGTATCTGGGTGGAATTTCACCCACACAGTTCTGCTATGACTAACGCCGCTAAACGTTTCGTGATACTTCCCTAGCTCCGATGGAACATCGACACGGGGTTGGTGCCACTGATGAGGGCTCAAGACATTGGCAGAGGTTGAGAGAGGGTGTAGGGGCGGCGCCAAGAGTTTAGACTAGGATGGGCTCAGTATTATATATATAAGATCTAAAAACCATTTCAGGGTGGACTGAGCTCGCCCCAACCCACCTTCGGCGCCGCCACTAAGAGGGTGTCTGGGTGGAATTGCACCGAGATAGTTCTGTGATTGCTAACGTCACCAAACGTTTCATGGTGCATCTCTCCCTCCATTAGAAGACTGATAGGAGGTTTGTGACACTAATGAAGGCTAGGGAAGAAGTGTCTGGGTGGGATCGCACTCAGGCAGCCCTGTGATAGCTAACGTCACCAAACTTTCCATGGTACTTTACTAGGTCCAATGCAAAGTGGAGTAAGAACTGACGACACTAATAAATATTGTGAAGGCAATACCTAGGTGAAGTTCCACCCAAATGGCTGCTGTGATAACTAACATCACCAAACTTCTCACGATACTGATCTAGGGTCAGACGAAGGTTGAGAGAAGATTGACGTGATCAACACGGTTTGAGGGAGGGGGAGGGACTGGGTGGCGTTTTATTCAATTATGATAGGGTGCAGCTTTTTGGTCTCTGTCATAGCTAACATCGTCAGACTTTCTACAGTACTTCCACAGGTCCAACAGAAGGCTGCGAGCGAGTTGGCGTCACCTCACGTGGGCTGAGTGAAACTTCGTCCAAGTCACGATATGCTGCAGTTTTCACTGATTTTTGATAAAATTTTGCGACTTTCGACCGATTTGTAGAGTCGTCTTTTACTACTATCTATTTACGGTTGGTGTACATGTGGCACAAAGGAATGGAGATGAGTGAAACGCATGGGACGCACACTCTCAGAATAGCGTCCGAATGGGATTTCTAAAACAGAGATGGAGTTAAAGTGGACCTGTACTAAACTACACTTAAATTAGAGTTGCAGCGGGATTTTTACACTAGCAGTAAATCTGAAGTGGAGTGAGCATGTACTATCTGAATGGGTTTGCAGTGGGATTTCCAAAATACAGGTGTAGTTGCAGTTGCAATGGAATGTTTATACTACGAGTGGATCTCGAGAGAAGTTGCATTGATACATAGCCGCAGTGGCGTCACTCAAATATGCACGGTGAGATATGTAGTGGTGATAGACGCAAAGCTTCCAAACATACCCCTGTCTATATCCTCTGTCGTTTTCTAAGCTGGCAGGTATTCAATATAAACGTTTCTGAACCACCATCGGATAACTTCGCTAGTATTTTATATTAGCTCTATAACATCTACAGCAACCCAATATACGAGATATATCACACCTCGCATCATTTACCTGCAAGAAGAACAACATATAATCGAGTTTTATATTTTTGATGTTTAAGAACAACAGCTGGATCTTGAACAGTATCATTATC